AAAAAAAAAAAAATTTAACAAGATAGACAAACCACTAACTAACCTAATTGTAAAACATGGGAGGGAGGACAAAAAGAAATGAAGAAGGGGAGATAAGCACGAAAGCAAAAGACATTTTTTAGAAGTACAGAAATTATTTGCACACCTCTATGGAAATACATTGACAAGCCTACAAAAAATGGATAATTTCCTAAGAAAATATAATTTACCAAAATTGACTTGAGTAGAAGTAGAAAGTTTAATCCACTCTCCATGGAAGAAGAAAAGTTATTATGACACTTCACCACAAAAAAGCACCACATTCAAATAATTTCACAGGGAAATTCTACAAACCTTTTGAAGAACACAGGGTCCCAAACTAGATAAATTGTTTTAGGACTTAAACAATTAGAAAATGTTCTGGATGCTTCTCATGAAATCAAGTATAATATTGTTACCTCAATCTGATATTATATATTTAAAAAATTATAGACAATATTATTTAAGAATATTAATGCAAGAATACTAAATAAAATATTAACAAACAACATCCAACACCACAATAATGAAAAGAATACACCATGGCCAAGTGGAATTTATTTCAGTAATGCAAGAATAGTTCAATATTAGGAAATCCATAATCTAATGCACCATATTAATAGATCTAAAGCAGGAAACTTATATGATTATCTCTATAGATCTTGAAAAAGTCAACACTCATTCCTGATTTAAAAAAAAAAAAAAAAAAAAAAAAAAAAAAAAAAAAAAAACCTCAAAATAAGAACTGATAGACCTTTCCTTAGCATTGTTAAAAAACAAAAACAACAAAAACTTCACTTCTAAAACCAGCACCTTACTTAAGAGGAAACAAAAGAGTCACTTTCACAGATCAGGGACAACATATAGATGCCCACTATTTCCACTATTTTTTTTTTCACTATTTCCACTATTATTTAATACTGTCCTATAGCTACTGCAATATACAAAAGAAACCAACTAGAGATATAACACTTAGAAAATATATAAAACTATGTCTATTTGCAGATGACATGATGGAATACCTGGAAAACTCTAGAAAAACAATGCTAAAACTAACTCAACCAAGATTCAATAAGTTAGCAGAATATCAAGATAACACACTGAAATCAACAGCCTTCATAAACACAAACAACTACTTAGAAGGTATAATGGAAGAGAAAAATCCCATTTAAGAGAATAACAACAACAACAACAAAACATTAACTATTTAGGGATAAACCACAAAAAATGAGCAAAATCTATATAAGAAAAATATTAAAACACTGCAAAAACAAAAATGTAGACATTAACAAATGGAAAAATATACTTTGTCCTGGATAGTAAAACCCAACATAATAAAGATGTCAGTTCTGCCTAGTTTATTTATTTTATTTATTAAATTTTTTTATTCTTTATTTTTGAGGCGGGGGAAGGAGGGGGGAAGGGGGAGGGAGGGGCAGAGGGAGAGGGAGACGCAGAATCAGAAGCAGGCTCCAGGCTCTGAGCTGTCAGCCCAGAGCCTGACCGGGGCTTGAACCCACAAAACACAAGATCGTAACCTGAGCCCAAGTCAGAGGCTCAACCGACTGAGCTACCCAGGCGCCCCTGCCTAGTTAATTTATTAAAAGAACAAAAATACCAATAACCTTTTCTTATGAAGCTGGACAAATTGATATTAAAGTTCACATGGATAAATAAACATGTAAAAATCATTAAGAAAACTCTGAATTAAAAAACAGCTACGAGGCAAGTTTATTCAAACACCACAAACTAATTAAAATAGTGTGGTATTAGAGCATAACTAGAGAGACAAGGCCAATGGACTAGAATAGTAAATCCAGAAATAGACCCAATATTATAATATGTCAATAACATATGTCAATATATATATAATATTATTATATTATATCTCAATAAAGCTGAAAATCAAAAGAAGTATACTTGGAAGAAAGGGAAGCACTGTAGAGATTTATGCCACATATACATACCTGTCTACATTCGTATTTGACAGAGAGTTGATAGAGTTATCCAATTCATTCTCACTTTCTCCAGACTGGCTGTTAACGGTTCCTTCTTCATCATCTACTTCATTAAGAGCCTTTCTCAACGTAACAATAAAAATAAAAATACAAGTTGGTTATATATACACTCATCCTTTCTTTCTTTTTATCATAACAATTGAGAGTTCCCTCCTTCTAAGGCTAACATCTCCACAAGTGCTCTAGAACCTAAACCCTCTCACCTCCATTCTACTCCATGACCTTCTATCTCCTGCCTCTCCAACCTCTCTCTCTGTACTGGCTTCAGCTCATCCATATTTAAATGTGAACAAGTCTCTCTCATTGTATCTTCTCCCTTTCACCACTAAACCTCTTGAAAGAGTCACCCCCCACTTCCCATTTACCATCTGTGCCCTACAACTTTGCTTCTGCCCTACCATTCCACTCAAACTGGTCTCTACAAGGTCAACATCCTCTTCTGATTTGTTCCTAAATCAAACAGATATTTTTTTTAGTTTTTGCCTTCCCTTACTTCTTTGATTCATTAGACATTAATTACCACTCCTTTCTTCCCTTCAAGATCTTCTTGATACACTCTTCCTTTTAATTGGCATGATACCAGATTTCCCTGTTGTTTTTTGTTTTTTGTTTTTCTATTCCCAATCTCCTTTATTCGTTCTTCTTTCTACTATTTCTTAATATCTAACGGGACTCAAGGTCCTCCCTTTGGACCTTTTCTCCTCTCGTCTGATTCCCTTTCTGAATGATTGTAGTTCCAAAGCTGCAATCACAAGTAAAATGCTGTGAATTCTCAAATTTCTACCTTTACCCAGATTTCACTGGAGCCCTAGGCAATTATATCCAACTGCCTAAAAGATATCCCTAGTAGACATCCTATATACATATAATAAACATGTCCCAAATTAGTCATCTTCCTAAGCCTCTCCTATTATTCTTCCAGAAGCCTTGTTCCTGCCATATTACCTAAGACCATGAACAGCATCACTATCTACTGATATGCTCAAGCCAGCAAACTGGGAGGTATCCTTCTTTCTCATATATCACATCCAATCAGCTCCCAAATCCTGTCAATTCTATCCCTTTTTAAAATCTCTCAAATTTATCCCTTTTCCCCTCTACCTCCTTCTCTACTGCCACTGCTTAGGTTAGGCTCCCACTACTTCTCACTAAAATTCTATCCTAGGGTACCTGGGTAGCATCCAAGTTCAGCTCAGGTTATGATCTCACGGTTCCTGAGTTCAAGCCCCACATCAGGCTCTCTGCTGCCAGTGTGGAGCCTGCTTCGGGTCTTCTGTCTCCCTCTCTCTGCCCCTCTCCTGCTCACACTCTCTCAAAAATAAATATACATACATACATACATACATACATAAATAAAATTCTATCCTGAGTCTTCTAATCAGATCCTCTCACCAGTCTCCTCCCTCCCAAACCCACCTTTCACTCTACAGTCGATTTCATAATGACTCTACTCTTCCTATAATCCTTTGGTGGCTCTACTCTTACTTTCTGGTTCCTTAGCCCTTCACTACCTAGTTCCTCCCTGTCTAATCTCAGCTCTTGCCAATTCCCCATCCCCATAAAAGAGACCATGATATCTGAAAGCTAACATTTTTAGTAAATGCTGAAACATAATGGTTTTTGGCTAGAGATACGGCTAATGGGTGTTGGCTATTTAAAACGTGTAATTTTACTTAACTGCCTTTGTAAATAGAAAACAATACTTAACATGTTTTTTTATGATTTTGGACCTTATAATTCCCTAGGATCAACCCTCTAATTGATGATTCTCCTTTTCTTCATAGGACATATACATAACCTAGGAAATTGCATTAAACAGGTATTGAGTCTTAATCAGTTCTAAGAAGTTGTTTTTAGTATTAAATTCTTCAAGTGCTTTTAAAAAATGTGTCCCATCTCAAAATTCTAAACATTTTGATTCATGAGTTAATCATTAATGAATTAATCATTAATTAATTAATGGTTTCAATTAGCTTAGGATATGGTTAATTAACATTTTACTACTAAAATAAATTTTCCCATCTAACTAGACAATAAATCCCAAGTTTCCTGGGTAGCTACTTTTTAAACACACTATTAGAAGGGACTAACATTTAATGAAGAGCTAGTATCTGGAATTATGCTAGGCATTTTACATAACTTATCTCAGCTGATCCTCACAACAACCATAGTAAGTATATTCTATTTCCATTTAACAAAAAAAACAAAAACACTCTGAGCCAATTCAGACACCTTAAGAAATCAACTCCAGATCAAAGAGCTAGTAAGTAATAGAATACAAACATAGATCCACCTGATTCCAAAATGCAAGTGAAAAGACTTCCCACTCCTTTCATACTGGCAGATGGAGCCCAGCTTGAAGGCCATCTCTGATGCCAACAAGCTATGTGATCTTGGACAAGGCACTTAATTTTTCCGAACCTCAGGTTTTTCTTCTGCTAAACGGAGATAATAATAGCTTACCTTGTAGGTAAGTACTCAATAAAAGGTAGCTATCATTATCCAGTCCTGTCTTGTTTGGTACAAACATTACTCACAGAGAGTGCAATATGCTTCAGTAAGAACAATTCTAACAACCATAACTAGATATCTGTTGATATTTAAGCTTTTGAAATGTTTACCACAATACCTACATAAGCTTAATTTCCACATAAGTATGACGGCTATGAGAATAGCACATTACCTGAGGCTCTAAGACAGATTCACTAAGAATGGCCTGGGTGACAGGGTCTTGATTTACCACGATGGGACCCTGAGAGGAATCAGGAGCCACTGTTACATTCGGAAACCCTGCAGAAGGAAAATAAGTAATGATGATTTTATTTCATTTAGTTAAATTGACTTTACAAACAATACACATTGCCCTAAGTTTGTTATCACATGAAAATCTTAAAAATAATAATAGCAGCTCACATTCATATAACACTATATGCCAGGCACTGTTCCAAGTACTTTTACATATATTAAGTCATTTTACCTTCACAAAATCTGATGAGATTGTTACTAGTATTATCTTACAGACCAGTAAACTGAAACTCAGAGACATGAAGCAAATGGCCCCGAGTCACACTAATAAATGGCTAAGCCAAGATTGAAACTTTACACTAAAAACTAGTGATCTATTTTTAGGGATTAAACAATAGATTACATACACATTAAAGTGAATAATGCTATGTATCTGAACAGAGGCAAAGTCCCTTTTAGAGAGAGATTGAAGTAGATTTAGACTTCAAATTAAGTTTTACTCAAGTTACATAAATACAAATACTTTATATGGTAACTTAATATTAATAAACTGGAAATTAAGTCACATTTTAAATTATAAAATCTTGTATATTGCCCTATAAAATATCCTAGTAAATAATAACAATTTACCTTTGCTTAGCTCAGTAATTTGTAATAGTTAATATTCTTAGTGAAAAAAAACAAATTATAATGAGTCTATGCCTAACAACTCTTATATGCTATCCACTCTAGAATACTTGTGATATAAATAATGTGGTGCCCAAGGGGCACCCGGGTGGCCCAGTTGGTTAAGCAGATGACTCTTGGTTTCAGCTCAGGTCATGATCCCACGTCCTCGTGGGTTCAAGCCCTGTGTCAGGCTCTGCACTGATGACGTACAGCCTGCTTGGATTCTCTCCCTCCCTCTTTCTCTGCCCCTCTCCCACTTGCATTGTCTCTGCCTCTCTCAAAAATAAATAAACTTTAATAAATAAATAAATAAATAAATAAATAAATAAATAAATAAATAAAGTGGTGACCGAGAAATGATTTAAAATTCTTCCAAGTAGCCAGCTATGGGCTATGGTTAATAAGAAAAAGAAGTTTTTGTTTGAATTGAATACATTACCTGTGCGCCTACGAGGAAAATCAACAAATAGATCTTTTGCTTCAGCCATCAAATGATCAGATTTTTCCAAAACATCCTGCATCTGGTATTGATCAGAAAGAATCTAGATACGTGTTAATGATAAATATATTACTCAGAAAAATATATATACATATACTTATGAAATCACAAAGGAAAAGTCCATACAAAGGTAGAGGGCATAAAAATAACCAAAGGCCACTACCTTTCTAAAATCCTTCAGTGACAATATCCTTAAGTACCAGTAGATGGGGCTATTACAATAATTAGTAGATTTCATGTGCTTGGCCACAATCCAAGTAAGAAATACATTATTTAACTGCGAACCAGCACACATACAAATGTAAATGTATAACAGAATAAAAGTTTTACTTAACCTTACTCTTTGAGAACCGCTCTGAAATTTTCCTTTTAGCTCCTATTTCATTTTTTTAAATAATGGGCTACAACACACTAACTCAATTTTACAATCCACTAAAAAGTTGTGATCCACAGTTTGAAAAAACACTGATTAAAGACATAAATCTCTGAGCCATAAATTCAGAGGCGTTTCAACCTTTAAAGTGTATTTCATAACCTACTATTGGATCATGATCAACAACTTAGAGAATATGAGCTAAGATATGAGGTTTAGGGCATCAAACAAAGTGATGTTTCTGTATTTATAAACAAGATGGATTTTTATCATGGGGGGATGAGAACCAAAACAATACCATTACAGTAGTGCCTCTGATTAGGCACTTTCAACTTAGGAACTTTCATAATTACAAGCAAGGACATGCAGGCAAGTCAACTCTAGCCACCACCGCCAGATGGCATTCTTAAACTGAAAGGAGTCACAAAATTGGAAACGACCCACAGTTTCCAACAATGATTCAAAACAATAAAGCATCTGGCAACAAATGCTCTTACCAGAATCTCTCTAGCCCATGGAAACAGGTATATAATATAACCTTAGTTACTGTTTTAGGACACTGACAAAAATAACAAGAATAAAATTCTATTTCCCTTCTTCTCCTGCTGTAGCCAACCATGTTGGCTAGCTCACTAGATGAGAATAAAGTCCTGAATTTGTTCCTTCCACAAAGAGTAAGCTTTGGAATGCTATAAGGCAAAGAGCACATTTGGAGCCAGAAGACTGGGATCCTAGGCCCAGTCAAGGGATACTAAGCAAAATCCAACCTCTCTAAACTTAGTTTGCTAATATGGAAATGAAAATACCACCACCTTCCCCAAACCCAAAGGGGTATTATCAGGATGTAGACACACTGAAAACCTGTATCATTCTAGAGATATTTGACAATGTTGTTACAACTTAAATTGTTTTATCCCATGAACCAAATTTCAGTCCCTGGTTAGCGATCTTGCAAGTACATACAATACATGCAATTAGAGCTTAGGAAAGAAAGTAAATGGAACATTATAATCTATCATTTAAACTAGAAAAACTACACACAGAATATTTCCTAATAGCAGTTTGATATTACTATTTAAAAAAAAAAATCACTGACCTTCCATCAAAATAAAGAGATATAACTGACAGAAGCAGATTACAGAGGAATAACTTTATCATATCAAGACCTGATATTAATTATAATGAAGTCTTCAGTAAAGCCGCTGCCCTGTTGTACTCTGCCAGTCTGCCCAGCCTTCTAGGGGCAGATGGTTTGAGAGACCAGAGATCAGTGTATTGGCTTTCTTTTGCTCTTTCTAGATTTACTTATCACTTCTTTCGGTTAAAACTCATCCTCTTGATAGGTAAGCCAATCTCTGCAAGCCCATCTGTATACATTACTTTCCCAGATGGGTTCACAGAACACAAGGCCAAAGTTATGAATGGTGGGACACAGCCTGGATTTGCAAAGGACTGTCCAAGATTCCTTCAAAAACATTATAAAAAACTTCCCATCCTAGCACTTTTGTTCTCTGATAATAAAAACCAGATTGAAATAGGAAATTGCAGAGAGACTTGGGAAGTTATTACACTTTTAGAATTTATAAAATCTTCATCAAAGTCTCCCTCTCTCTGAATCTGGACCCTCATTTGCCTGATTCCCATAACATGAATGCATCCTACAGCAAATGCCAAAGAGCTTTTCTCTGAATTTTTGTTAATCCAGGAGTCCAGCCCTGGGGGCTGGACGGGTAGCGGTAGCTCTTAATACATAATGATAACTGCCTACATGAATATTCCCAACAAGCCTTCTTCATTTGATCCCTTCACATCCCTGAACAGAGACATTACAAATTGAACACTGAAATAACAGCTATACATATCCTTTGACTCAGCAATTCCATTTTTAAGAATTTTTCCTATAAATAAAGTTTTACATGTACTTAAAAACATTCAAGGATATTCAATGTATTATTTGTAGAACCAAGACAGGTAATAATCTGTGGGTGACAGACCTGCCACTTATCCACCAATCTCCTTTCTTTCCATTTTCCTTTCAACAGCAGAATCCCCAAGTTTTAGCCAAGTACATAGCTAGATTTCCTAACCATCATTCCAGGTGAGAATGGTCATGTGATGAATTTCTGGATAATGGGAGACAAGCCAGAATTTCTGGGCAGTATGTGAAAGGAGTAGCATGCATTCTCTTCCCCTTTTCATGCTGGCTGGAATACAGCTGAAGGAAGCTGGAACAGCCATTCTCTACTCAAGAGGTGGAAGTCCTGGAATAAAGGGCCCCAGCATCCCAACCAACTACCATTTCCTTCTCAATTGTTTTATAGACAGAAATAGATTTCTATTTTGCTTAAACCACTATATCTTGGGGTCATTCTTCTTCCAGAAGCCTAAGCTTTACTCCAGTACACTTCCTAAGTGCCCACAAATAAAGCAGTAAATAAATAAACTGTGGTACATCTATATACTATCTGGCCAAAAAAAAAAAAAAAAAGAAAAGAAAAGGTAGATTTCTAAATACCGACATGGATAACCTCCAAAATATATTGTTAAATGGAAGTACCTGAATCCTACTAACAGCAGAGGTTCTCAATCCTGCAACGTACTAAAATTACACAAAAACTGTCTAAAAAATACCCACATCACAGGTCCACTAAATCAGAATATCCTTGTATAGCTACATCGTGGTCCAAATGTGGTGATTATTTAATGGAAGTTCTCAACCCTGATCTACTGTGCAGTGAGTGTTGAGAACCACGACACCAGAGCCTGAGGAGCAGCCCTGGAGTGGAGGCAGAGAGACTTCACACACCCTCTTTCATCGCTCTTCCTCTGATCCCTACTTCTACCACACCCATTCCTTGTATAAGCAATTCAGAACCTGAGCAGGAGCCACAAGAGATGGGACACAAAAGCCCAGAGCCACCTCAAAGGGGCTGCCTTGTTTCCTGGTCACTGAGAATTACCCTATAACGTTGAAATATGCATGACGGTCCAAGATCACCAAAACATACTTATCTATAAAGAACCATATTCCCTCCATCCACTGTTCTTTTTATAAGTTCACGTAAACATTTATTTGGGAGCTAGAATTCTTCCTGCTGATATATAAGATCAAGACTTTTACATTTCACTAAGAAGCCTAATGGATTCCTCAAAAGACAGAGTGATTTAAAGCTGCAGTGAAAGGTCACCCAGACATCCAAGTGCCATAAGCTTCACTAATGAACAAGAAGCAACACGACAAAGTATATTTCTTTTACAATGATTACAGTGATATCATCCCAAATAAAAGATTTTTTACTGTGGTTTCCTCTTATTTGCCATATTGTTTATTCCTATACATCTGATTACTTATCCAAACACCCTACATCTGTCAAAAGATTAAGCCAAAGACAAATGGCTAACACATTTTTTTTGCAAGTAATCAATCTAACATCACTTGTGTGATCAATCTAACATCACTTGTGTGATGTTAGTAAAGTAATCAATCTAACATCACTTGTGTGAACTGAGAAAAGTAATTATATATATGACACTAATTATGTGCCAAGGACTGTCCTAATCCCTTTATTACTACATATCACGAAAATCTCTTAACAATACAGTCAGATAAGTCACACAAACAGTAACTTGCAGAGCAGGAATTAGACTAATTCCTAACTAGACTAATCGTCACTCTGCTGCTTTTTTCAAAGTCCATGTGTAGATCACTGTATAAGGACACAATCGTCTGCCAGACCTTCTCCAATGTGAAACAAATTTAGGGGGAAAGAGAGAACCCCATTTATCACTTTCTTCTCTAATATTATGCAGCTCAGCATTACCTCCCTCATGATAGATAATCTCCTTCTCTCAAGATGAGAAATTTCTGGTTTCTGCTTCTTCCATTTTCTCTTCAAAGCTTTTTCTTGCAGTTCCCAGTGTACTAATGCTCTGTTCTTTGATTTGTGTATTTCATGACGACGTATCTGTACAGAAGGAAAAAAATATAAAAGAATGTTTCAGGAACAAAGATGTTACCTATTCAGATGGTGGGAACACCTAATCTACCTCATCTTTTAAAAATATTTTTCTGGGGGCGCCTGGGTGGCGCAGTCGGTTAAGCGTCCGACTTCAGCCAGGTCACGATCTCGCGGTCCGTGAGTTCGAGCCCCGCGTCGGGCTCTGGGCTGATGGCTCGGAGCCTGGAGCCTGTTTCCGATTCTGTGTCTCCCTCTCTCTGTGCCCCTCCCCTGTTCATGCTCTGTCTCTCTCTGTCCCAAAAATAAATAAAAACGTTGAAAAAAAAATTAAAAAAAAAAAAATATTTTTCTGGTCCAACACATATATATTTATTCATATTCACAACCAAAATTTTCACAGTCTTCTACATTTTCAAAAGTGATTAAAAAAAGAAATCTCTAGAACTAGTAGACCTAGCAAAAAGACAAAATGAAAAAAAATATCAATTTTTACCTCTTTTGTACAAGACTATTCAATAAACTGCTATTTTTCAAACTGCAGGTGAAGACTCATTTAATGGGTGGCAAAATCAATTCATGGGTCAAATCAACATTTTTGAAATAAAATAGAATATAGAATAGAAAATATTAAGAATACATCACATTTAATAAAGCTAAAAACTGTGTTTTATTAAACTTTTCAGTTATGCATGTGTGTATATGTACAATTACACACACACACACACACACACACACACACACACACAGTGACTAACCACAATGTAAAAGATACAAAGCCCACTGAGTCACCTTTGGCAAAGTCACACCCATTTCATAATACTCACATCACTACCAAAAACTAACAATGCACTATTTTTTAGAGACCTGCAAAGGCTGCATGTGGAAGAGGGTCGCTGGAGATGCAGAACTCCAAGAAAGTAGAATTGCTGAAGCAGAAGCAGAGATTTGAACCACAACTTAAGAGGTAGAGGAGAGTTCACAGAGCTGGCTAAGGAATAGGAGCAGATACTGGCTTCACAAGCACTCTAGTATTCAGAACTATGAAGAGAACAAGATCTATAGGGCATCTGATAAAACGTACCGCAACAACCAAATACCGTGTAAAGATTCTGAAGACCAAAAACAAATGAAAATGACATTTTTGAGACAACTGGGGAAATACAAATATGGACTGGGAATTAGGCAATACCAAAAAATTATTGTTACTTTTATTAGGTATGATAACAGCATTGTGGTTATATAAGAAAATATCTGCATTTTTTTAAATGCAAACTGAATATGTTGGCACAAAATGACATGTTTTCTGAGATTTGCTTTAAAATGCTACAGTGAAAAAAAAGGGTATGAAAAATGAAGCAAATATGGCAAAATTTTAATAACTATTATATCTGGGTGAACACTGTATGGGTGATCTTTATACTTTTGTCTCCATTTTCACATAAATTTGAAATTTTTCATAATAAAAAAATTTAAGTCAGTAGGGGATCATTACTATCCTCAACAAATATTTAATGAGTATCTACTAGGATTAAGATTCCCAGGTCCACAGAGACACATAAGAGGCAGCCCCTATCCCTCAAAAGCATTAACAATCCGCCCAGGGAGATTGGGAACATACAGCTGACCTTTGAATGACAAGGGTTTGAACTACGTGGATCCACTTATACACGGACTTTTTTCAATAAATACAGTACAGTACTATAAATGTAATTTCTCTTCCTTATGATTTCTTAGTAACATTTTCCTTTCTTTAACTTCATTTATTGTAAGAATATAGTATATAATACATATTACATACAATATACATGTTAATCATCTGTTTATGTTATCAGTAAGCCTTCCTGTCAAGAGTAGGCTATTAGTAGTCAGGTTTTGGGGGAGTCAAAGCTCATACACAGATTTTTGACGGTGCAGGGGGCTGGCACCTGTAACTCCTACACTCTTCAAGGGCCAACTGTACATGTAAAAATAAATGATATGCATTAGGCAACACATACTTAATGCCTCATACACAGTACGTACAACCACAGTTCAGAGGAGATACCAATTGTTGGGCAGCTTCAAAAAACTTCATACTTAGAACAGAGCTATAATAATCAAGACAACGTGGTGAGGCATAAGGATAGACATATAGATTGGTGGAATAAAACTTAGTGTCCAAACCAAACCCTTATGTTTACAGACCATTGATTTTCAACAAGGGTGTCAAGATAATTCAATGGAGAAATGGCACATAGGACAACAGGGTATTCATTTAGAAAAGAACGAAGTTGGACCCCTATCTCACACTATATACAAAAATTAACTCAAAATGGATCAAAGACCTAAATATAAGAACTAAAATTATAAAACTTTTAAAAGGAAACATAGAAGTAAATTTTTATGAATCTTGGGTTAGATAATGGTTTCTTAGATATGACACTAAAAGCACAGGTGACAAAAGATAGATAAACAAGTTCATCAAAAGTAAAAACTTTTAGGGGCGCCTGGGTGGCTCAGTCAATTAAGCATACGACTTCGGCTTAGGTCATGATGTCACAGTTTGTGGGTTTGAGCCCCGCGTCGGGCTCTGTGCTGATAGCTCAGTGTCTGGAGCCTGCTTCGGATTCTGGGTCTCCCTCTCCCTCTGCCCCTCCCCTGCTCATGCTCTGTCTCTCTCTGTCTCAAAAATAAATAAACATTAAAAAATTTAAAATTTAAAAAAAATTTTAATTAATTAATTAAAAACTTTTGTGCTTCAAAAATACCCATCAAGAAAATGAAAAGAAAACCAACAGAATGGGAGAAAGTATTTGCAAATCATACATCTTATAAGGAACTTGGATCCAAAATGTGTAAAGAACTCTTACAACTCAAAAATAAAAACACAAGTAATCCAATTTTTAACTGGCTAAGGAATCTCAATAGACATTTCCCCAAAGAAGAAAATAATACAAAGAGCCAATATGCACACAAAAGGATGCTTAACATCATGAGTCATTAGGGCAAATCTAAACCACAATGAGATTCCACTTTACACCCACCAGGAAAACTAAAACCAAAAATACAATAATAACAAGTGTTGGCAAGGGATATGGAAAAAGTGGAACCCTCATGCATGATAAGAATGTAAATAGTGCAGGGGCACCTGAGTGGCTCAGTCGGTTAAGCGTCCGACTTCGGCTCAGGTCATGATCTCACAGTTGGTGAGTTCGAGCCCCGCGTTGGACTCTGGGCTGACAGCTCAGAGCCTGGAGCCTGCTTCAAATTGTGTGTCTCCCTCTGTCTGCCCCTCCATTGCTTGCACTCTGTCTCTCGCATTGCCTCAAAATTAAATAAACATTTTAAAAAATTTAAAAAAAAAAGAATGTAAATAGTGCAGCCACTGTGAAAAACTGTGAAAAACTGTTTGGCAGCTCTTCAGAAAGCTAACTATAGAGGCACCATATGACCCAGCAATTCTACTCCCAGGTATACAAGAGTACTAAGAACATATGTTCACCCAAAACTTGTACATGAATGTTCATAGCAGCATTATTCATAATAGTCAAAAAGTGAAAATAACCCAAATATCCAACAATGGACAAATGGATAAATAAAATATGGCATATCCATATGATGTAATAGTATTCAGCAATATAAGGAATGAAGAACTGATACATTCTACAACATGGATGAGCCTTGAAAACGTTATGCTAGACACAAAAGGACACACACTATATTCTATTTATATGAAATGTCCAGAATAGGCAAATCCATAGAGACATAAAGTAGATTAGGTGTTGACAGGGATTACAAGGAGGGGGAGTATACAGAGTGACTGTTAATGGGTACAGGGTTTCTTTTAGGGAGTGACGAAAATCTTCTAAAATTAGAAAATGATGATAGGTATATAACTCTATGAATATACTGAAAACCAATGGGTTGTACACTTTAAAATGGTGGATTTTATGGTATGTGAATTGTATTGTAATAAAGCTGCTTTTTTAAAAATCTACAGTAGAAACCTTTCTAAAAGTAAGCCTTGAACTAGGATAAGAAAGCAAAGTAATATTTGGACATGCACACAAAAAGGCAGACAAACTGTTCCAAGTAAAGAAAACGGCATGAATTGAGGCTCAAATGTGGAAATATACATGGCATATTCAAGGAATAAATTAGTACATTGACTACACCAGTACGTTTGTATAGGGAAGTAATAATAAAGCTAGAGATACCTATGATGTGTACAGGACAATACTGACCACAGAGATTTGAACTGTAAACCAAACCTATCTAATAAAATTTTAATACACACTAAGTGACATTCCTAGGTAAATTCAGGAAATACTGAAGATATGCTTTTCAATTTTATATAGACATAAGATTAAATAAAACTAAACAACTTCCAGGAAGTGTCTCTGGTTTCTATTCTGAATGTCAGAAACCAAATACTAAATGAAACATTGAATAAATCTTAACTTTTGATATTAAACTTACCAGATCCTCAGGAGTTGCCCGATGAACTGTAAGATCATTCACAGTATTCTGCAAAAAAAGAGGACCTTTCTTTAAAAACAACAAAAAAAAAGATTTCTTGCAAAATATTAGTATATATTGGATTTTTAAAAAAATAGGACTTCAATGTTTATTAACTTTCTTTGGGTTATTTTCTTACAGGAAAACTTGTCTTTAGACTAGGTTAAAAAGCATTTAAAATCAGTTTTAGTTTATTTTTGATAAATTCATTTTCCTTTTTTAAAAAAACCTTTTTTATTTTTTAACTTTTTTTTTAAGTAATCCTTATGCTCAGTGTGGGGTTCAAATTCACAACCCTGAGATCAAGAGTTGAATGCTCTACTGCATGAGCCAGGCAGGTGCCCCTCAAAAATCTCCTTTTCTTAGTTTAAGCCTTCTGTACCTTTTTTTCTCCTATATGCCAGATGGGCCTCAGTTAAAAGATTATGTACTTAACTAAATAAGCAAGCTAACCTCCAAGAAACCTTTCTTTAAAGAGTTTAGGGATTTGTCTGATCATCTCATTTTAGCAAGATAAAACTGCTATTTTAAACTGAAATAGGGGTACCTGGGTGGCTCAGTTGGTAGAGCTTCTGATTCTTGGTTTCGGCTCAGGTCATGATCCCAGGGTCATGGAATTGAGCCCTACGTAGCCCCACATCAGGATCCATGCTGAGCAAGGAGCCTGCTTAAGATTCTCTCTTTCTCTCTCTGCCCCTCTTCCCTGCTCACACACTCTCAAAGTAAATAAACAAATAAATAAAATTATTTATATTCTCACATAATATATAAAACAAATGCGTTTATTTAAATTAAAATGTTAGTTTTATTACTCAAACTTCTTATCACATTTTTTCACATCCTCCAGAAAGTTATATCACACCTATGACCTTATATTGTTCATTTACGTGTGGTTAGGTATGAGTATGTACTGGATTTTAATGGCTGAAAATGGATTCAAACTCCTGGGACCAAAACGAATTTCTGTCCAGGAACCAGTATCCTCAATTTAAATATTAATATGGATTATTGTTAGTTGTCTTGGTTAAAAAATAACAGGCTATTTTTAGATGTCTTACAGAAAATAAGCAGTGTATTTACCAAGCAGTCATACATTCCATTAAAACAATAAATAAAACAGAGTAGTATGTAATTCAAAATGAGTAAGTTTAACTAAAATTGTAGTTTTCAAAATGCACTCCGGAATGAGGCACCTCTCAAGATTCCTGAAAGATAAACTGTGATCACTACAGAGAGGTTAAATCTGTATCCATGCAAACAACTTAAGCATAGAATCTGTCACACATAATAAAGGATAAAGTCCGAGTGCACTGTATAATTTCATAAAATATGAAAATAGTCACTTATGTAAAAAGGTACTAAACCTACATGGCAGGTCTACCACACTGCACAACTCCAGGAACTCCCGCTATTACTCTAGTCCATGTAAAAGTACCCCCTTGGAACTAAGCAATGCACAGCCTACACAACTTTAAGTAGCTGCCCTACGATTTGGCCCTTTCCAAAATGACTTCAGCCATTTTGTCATACAGATTTGGTAAGGCAGGAAATAAAACAAGTTAGAGTTCTACTTCTAACAGAAATAGAACTGGGTCTGGTGAAATGGCTTATATTAGAAGATGGATATATTAAAAGACCTAACTTTTTGGTCACAGTTCATACTTAACTCAAGGGTTCTCTATACTAAAATTGCCATTCCTTTCATATTAATTTATAAAAGTACAAGATAGGGGCACCTGGATACCTGAGTCAGTTGAGTGTCTGACTCCTGGTTTCGGCTCAGGTCGCGATGTCAAAGTTCATGGGTTCAAGCCCAGAGTCAGGCTCTGTGCTGACAGCAAGGAGCCTACTTGTGGTTCTCTCTCTCCTTCTCTCTCTCTGCCCCTCCCCCGCTCATGCTGCATGCTCGCTCTCTCTCAAAATAAAAATAAACTTTAAAAAAAGAGTTTAAAAAAAAAGTACAAGATATAACTATAAGATCTTGAGAATTATTCTTAATAATCATAATAAAATTCAAGCATATAAGTTATACGCTTGGATTTAGTTCTCATGGGAGAAAATATAATTTCATTAATACTACTATTGCTTAAAACTATTTTCTTTTGAAATTGCCTTTATATATAAATTATAAGCCATTTCAAAAAAATCTCATTATTTTTAGCAAAACAGTATTATTCAGTTTGATCTCTCCTCCCTCATTCACCATTTACTCCAAATGACTTAAAACTACTTTCAAGTTCAGTCTACAAAAAACAGATTTTTCCAGCACTAGAGATAATAAAAAAGCAAATGAGGAAAATTCTGAATGTAATTTCAAATGGTGGGTTTCGATTATGTTTTGAGCAATAGTGGCAGCATATCAGAATATTAAACTTCCCAAAGTAACCACTCTGAAGTAGACAACTTAAGTTATCATATGCATTTTTTTTCTTTTAATAAGTTTCATTTATTACCTTAGAGTCACACCCTTATAATATCTTATAGCAAATCAAATGACAACAAATATAAACGCAGATAAGTCCCCCTGACCCACTTCAAAAAGGCTGTCAGTTTGCCCAGAAGTTTCCAAGTCCAAAAGAATCCCAGAGATCCAAAGTAGTCCCTGACTAGTTGCTCTCCACAACTAGAAAGAAAAGGAACCTAAAGTGTTATGGTCCAAACTAAAGTACCAAGCTGCACAAGATAAAGATCCCCTTGATAATACCAAACAGTATCGGAGTGGAAGCCAGGGATCACATGTCCCAAGTACTTGAGACTTGTCTTACATCTTAACAGAACCTTTCTATTGAAACTGACCAGCCTCGGGAGGTGAAAAACAAACAATTCAGGAGAGAGAGTAAGAATCACCCATTTTATCAGCCAAAAATGCCACTCATATGATTATGATGTCACTGGTTGCCATGGGCAAATCTAAAAAAAGTACCAAAAAAATTCAGACTTCAGCAACACAGGTTAGCTACAGTTGCCTTAAGCAGTGAGTTTTCAAAGTTCGGGAGGGGAGATTTTTAAAAACACTCCCCACCCTCTTAAGATTCTCTCTTCAAAGGAGGTAGAGGTTACGGGCCTCGCATGTGTATTCTTAAAAAAATCCCCAAAGGATTCTGCTCTTAAACACTCCCAGAAATCTATTGAGCCCTATTACATTTAAAGCACTGTCTTGTGTAGACTAGGTTCATGTCATCACATCTATTCCTCCAGAGCAATCTTACAGGTTTATTATCCCGCCTAGACTTACATCCCATTCTTGCTTCACTGACGTTTTCTTCTTCTTTACTTTCAGCGCTTTCCTTCCTCCTCCTCGGGTACCATAACGGTTCACTCTGACAAGTGACATCTAGAAGTAATAATCATACCACATTTTTAAAATATAATAAAAAGTGGTAATTAGGTATCACCAGATGGGAACAAAGACATCTAAGAAAATAAACTAAAGTGTCAGTAGAAAAATTTAAGCATTATGAAGGGAACAGCCTACCAAAAATACTTGGTTCTTTTACTTCACAATTAGAAAACTGTACTGATAACTATAATAAAACAGGTTTCAAGTTAATAACTTATGTATATTTGCTTAACAAAGAACTCCAGGAATAAAAATTATGACCTAAAACAGAGCTATGGCAGTAGTCACAAGCTTTGTCATCAGTTAAACTTCACAATTAATAGAGAAAATGTCAGTCAACATGCTAACAATCTAAAAGCAAAAGGAAAAAGGCAGAGTTGGAGTTCTTTATTAAGCATTCTAGCATTCAAAACCACTACCAGATATGTATGTGTTTACTTAAAATAAAGGTGGCTAAAGTTTAGAAAACAAGTGAGTTATATCATTTCTAGTATATTTCCACATAATACTAAATGGGGATGACTATTGATACTAAACTAGCATTTGGAAATTGCCAACATTTGCTTGGCACTTGAAATAGCAATGCTAAGGATACTGGACTAAACATTACACAAAATTCGAAAAAGACTCATAGTCTCTGTATACTAGGATTTTACAATATGTATATATGACTTTTAACAAGCAACACATATACATGAACTCCATTACACAGATAAATAATTACAGAACTTTCCAGCTGACCCCCTTATTCCAAATTATCTTAAAACAAAAGACTGTAGTATTTTCCTTATGTACATTTTAAAAAAATTATTTAGTCGACTGTAATAAAAACACCTAAATGCAAGTATTTTCATAGGCTTCTCCTTAGTCCTCTTTGCATTCTGTCTTAATCCATCATATTCATTCCTCGAACATGTTATCTATTTTCAGGTTTTACAATCCAGCAAAAGAGAGAAGCTTGGCTTTTACAAGTTAGAGAAAAATCTTTAACTTGTGTTATAGTGATCATGCTGATAATGATGAGGACAGTGAAGATTGTGATAATGATGGCATTAGCTAACACATATTATGTGCATGTTGTCTACAAGGTAGTGTTCCATGTAAGCTCTTCCTACACAGTACTTCCCTTAATTCTAACAATAATTCCATTAAGTATTTACTATTTGTCACTCATTTTACAGCTAAGGGACAAATAGTTAACCAACTGTGAAGGTCACACAGTAAGTGGCAGAACCATAAATACCATTTTAAAAATGTGGAATAGAACTAAAAGTCCAGAACAAACCTTTACATTTACAATCAGTATATTTTCAACAGAGGTGCCGAGAAATAATTCAATAGGGAAAGAACAGTCTTTTCAACAAATGGTGCTGGAACAACTGGAAATCCATACAAAAAAGAATGAATTAAGACCTCTACCTCACAACATATATACAACTTAACTTAAACTACCAACTTCAGTGTAAGAGCTAAAAGTACAAAACTCCCAACAGAAAACATAAGCATAAATCTTCATGAAAATTGGGTTAAGCAATGGTTTCTTAGATATAACACTAAATATAGAACACTAAAGAAACCAAAGAAAAAAATAAAGTGGACTCCATCAAAATCTAAAACTTTTGTGCTTCAAAAGACACCATGAAGAAACTGAAATGAGGGGGCGCCTGGGTGGCTCAGTCAGTTGAGCATCTGACTTCAGCTCAGGTCATGATCTCACCATTTGTGGGTTCAAGTCCACAACAGGCTTTACACTGATAGCATGGAGCCTGCTTCAGATTCTCTCTCTCCCCTTCTCTGCCTCTCTCCTGCTCATGCTCTCTCTCTCTCTCAAAAAAATAAACATTAAAAAAAGAAAGAAAATGGAATGACAGCCAACAGAATGGGAGAAAATATTTGCAATTCATATCTGATAAGGAACTTGGATCCAAAATATATTTTAAAAAAAAGAAAACCTTACAACTCAACAATAGAAACACAAATACTCCAATTTTATTTATTTATTTATTTTTATTTATTTATTTTTGAGACAGAGAGAGACAGAGTGCAAGTGGGGGAGGGGCAGAGAGAGAGGGAGACACAGAATCCGAAACAGGCTCCAGGCTCTGAGCTGTCAGCACAGAGCCTGACACGGGGCTCGACCCCACGAACCGTGAGATCATGACCTGAGCCAAAGTCGGACACTTAACTGACTGAGCCACCCAGGCGCCCCATACTTGATATTTTTTAAAAGTGGAATTGTTTCACTAATTTTTTTCAACATTTAAAAAAGCTAAGCATGTGTATCATAATGTATTGAATTAGTGATTTAGTTGTAAGATTTTTTTAATTTATTTAAATTCAAGTTAGTTAGCATATAGTGTAGTACTCGTTTCAGTAGAACCGAGTGATTCATAACATACGTATAACACCCAGTGCTTATCCCACAAGTGCCCTCCTTAATGCCCATCACCCAATTAACCCATCCCCCACCCACCTCCCCTCCATCAACCCTCCGTTTGTTCTCTGTATTTAAGAGTCTCTTATGGTTTGCCTTCCTCTCTGTTTTTAACTTATTTTTCCTTCCCTTCCCCTATGTTCATCTGTTGTGTTTCTTAAATTCCACATAAGAGTGAAATCATATGATATTCGTCTTTCTCTGATTGACTTATTTCGCTTATTATCATACACTAGTTGCATCCACATTGTTGCAAATGAAAAGATTTCAGTCTTTTTCATCACCAAGTAATATTCCACTGCATATATACGGTATAATGGGATATACATACATTATTAATTAATTGTTGATTAATATATCTTATAAGCACTTATTTATGCTAAGCACTTCACATTTAATCCCACAACGCTATGAGGCACATACTTTCTTGAGACAATACAGCACAGTGGTTAAGAGTACACTCTGAAACCAGACTGTCTGGGTTCACATCCCAGCTTTGCCAGTAATTGTAAAATGGAACTAATTAAATACATAAGGTGCTTAGATCCCCTGCCTCGCACATACTAAGTTCTATTTAGGATTAATGACGATGATGTCACTGGTAGCTATTAACCATTTCTCAAATGAGAAAAATGGGGCTTAGAGAGATTACGTATATTATATTGCTCAAAGTCACATAATGGGCAGCTTGGAGGTGACATTCAACACCAGGTCTAAATGTAATGCACCGCCTAGAAAATGGTACCAACACTGTGTTATCTCTGATTGGTTCTATATTTTCCAAATTCTCTACAATGAACCCAGGTTACTCCTAAGATAATTCATTTCATGTTACGTTATTTAAAATCCTATACTTATTCAGGCGCTGAAATTCTACAAGACTCAATTGTGAAAAACCTACCATGAATCTGAAGTATGCAAAAACTTACGAGCAGTCAAAAGGCCCAGGTCTTGTTTCTTTCGTTCGTGAGGCCCTCAACATCACAATATTTGAAATTTAGGAAAAGCAGTACTTTTTAAATCATAGCTATTTGTACACTAATGGTGACTTCTGATGATAAATATAATGTATTCAAACAGAACTTTTCTTAAGCAAAGAGACAAGGAAATTAATATAAACAATTGATCAAATGCCTGAGTATTATTTGTGGAAATATCAACAATTATCAATTTTAGCATAAGAAAATGTTATGTCCAAAACACCTCCATATTCACTGCCGAAAACAGTGGTGAAATGAAGGGATATGTTATGGTCTGAATGTGTCCCCCCAAAATTCATGTTAAATTCTAACCCCCAAAAGTGATGGAATTAGGAGATGGATGGAGCCTTTGGAAAGTGGGGTCTTTGGGAGGCAGAGCCCTCATGAATGGGGCTAGTGCCGTCATAAAAGAGGCTCCAGAGAGATCTCTAACCCCTTTCATCATGTGAGGACACAGCAAGGTATGCTGGCTATGAACCAGGAAGAGGAGCCTTACCAGAACACGACCATGCTAGAGCCTTGATACTGAACTTCCCAGCCTCCAGAACTATGAGAAAAAAACCTCTCATTTATAAGCTATCTAGTCTGGTATTTTGTTATGAAAGTCTGAATGAGCTGAGTATACAACTGTTATCTTTTTTTTTTTTTTTTTTTTTTTTTTTTTTTTTTTTTTTTTTCACTTCAATTTAGCCTAGCAAAGCTGGCTGTGGTTACTCTAAGACAACTCACAATGAATCATGACCATTGTATAATCCCTGACCCTTGAGTTTGGGCAGAATCCATGGCTTATTTAGGTTTTTTCCCCCCGTGATTTGTTTTATCCAGTAAAACAAGACAAATGTGAGATATCCTTCCTTTGATCACTTATGTTATATATGTCTTATATATAGTCTTATAAGTCTTATATATAAGCCTTATGTTATATAAGGAGAGTAGAGCAAGAGAGTCCTCCTGCTGGCCTTGAAGAAGCCAACTGTCACTGTGACTGTCTGTAAAAAGGGCCATATGGTGGGGGCAGGGGGTGGGGGCAGGGAGGGTGCCTGGATGGCTCAGTTGGTTGAGCGTCTGACTCTTGATCCCAGCTCAGGTGTTGACCTCAAGGTCATGAGTTCGAGTCCCACGTTGGGCTCCACACAGAGCATACACTGGGTGTGGAGCCTACTTAAAAAGGGGGGAGGGGGCCGTATGGCAGGGAATTCAGACAACTGTGGGAAGCCCCAGCAGAAAGTCAGTATGAAGACCACCACGCCCCCCTCCCAAGGCATACAAGGCATACAAACACAAGGAAATGAATTCTGCCAGCAACCTAAGTGAGGTGAGCCTCAAGGAAGATTTTTCCCAAGCTGGGTTCCAGATGAGAATGCAGACCACCAACACCTTAATCACAACTTTGTGAGACCCTAAGCACAGTACCCTGTCCACAAGAATTGTGAGATAATAAATGAGTATTGTTTTAAGTCACTAAGTGTGTGGTAATTTGTTACACAGCACAGGAGACTAATGTACTGGCCAACTCTAAGTTCAGCCTGTGTGTGCTAAGATCACAAAGGTAGAACTAAGCTGCTATCCCACCTATGGAC